GACATGAAAGCGAAGCATTCCTCTATTCCTTTGCGGTCTAACCGATGAGTACCAATGCAATGCTCCAATGAAACTCTCAAGCGTGCCAATTATATTGAGCGGAATTTAAAAAAGAAAGAAAGAAAGAAAGAAAGAAAGTATCATTGTTCGTATTCTTCGTTGATGAAGTATTGCCCTTGCCTTCTGATAAAGATACTACTTTTCAGCCTTCTTACCGCTACATTACCACCAGGGGTACATGAAGAATGTAATGGACATTCCACTTCGTCGCCCTTACTTTGTCGATCAGATAGTAGATAGTTACATAATCCAGGTATTTAGCTAGTAACTGATTTAATGGCCTGTTGTTTCTTGTGCGAGGGCGGTTAATAAAAATCATTCAAGCGCCCGTGGTTGATTGAAGTTATCTATTATATCTATTCTCGAATGCCAAAGTCAATGGGTGCCGATTTCTTTCTTACACAATTATCATTATTGTATTGACAGCACCATCTAAGGTCTTTTACCTAGTGCGTTGGTTCTCACCACAGTCGGTGTGAGAATGGAGTGTTGGTATACTATGTGCCGAAAGCTCGCTGACCTTGCTCATCGAAAGAGGAAAAACGTCCTGCAAATTGTGAGTAGTGTTTGACATGAGACCAAGGCTAGGATAGAAATCCATGTATTCATGAATACGGGGTCTCCCATTTGACTTGCGAAAAGATAAGGGGTTTAATTCGAATTCTGCTGCCGAGTAAGTATTGTGCAAACTCAATTCGATGATTTTAGATGAGAATCTCTAATGACTTGTTCATAGTGAATTAAGACCTTATGTGGCTTTGCCAATCGACAAAGAGACCTTGGAAATCAGCACTACAGAACTCCCGACAAATTCTGATATCGACCTGTTAGTGGGGTTTATCGAAATGGAATATCAAAAACCGGCAGAGTCTATGTTGACAATCCAGAGACCCTCGCCCCTCTCTCGGCAAGCGAAACAAGACTAGAAGAAGTACGAAAGTCTTTTCGGCTAGTCCGCGGAAAAACAAGAAACGAGCTTGCTCAGTTTCCGATGCACTATTCAAATGTAATGGGCATTCACTCTGTTCATAGACTCTTAAAACCAAGAATTCAAGTGTACGATAGTATCAGCAACTTTGATATCCATGAGCATATGTTTGTCCCCAGATTGATAAGCCTCTGGTGATATCTTCAGTCTGTTGTGTTCAAGTTGCGCAGACTACCTGCTCAGCTTACAATAAATCGCTCAAAGCAGCCTACATACCCGCTACCAGGGAGAAATAGCAGGAGGCGTGCTGAAGCAATAACTCGGTCGGCAAACACTCGCCACCTCTAATGGCCAACAGCCAGTAGCCTCTGCATTTCTGAGCAAGATGGACGCAGAACACAGCAAGGCGGCTAAAAAACTCAATGATCACTGAACCGCATACAGGGTGATGATGATGATGATCTCATTTACCCTGACCCCTCGCCTCAAAAGCGATATGCAGGCTACCTCAACTATATATTCCTCTGTACGAACATGTAGAATGTCCCACTTCCTGAAAATGAACTTAGAGCCTCGTCACGGCCTGTCGTGGCCTGATTGCCGTTCCCATTGTTAGGCTGTCCCTGTGACGCCTCGGCGAAGTCCAACACAGCCTGGACCGTCTTGACCCGCGAGACGGTGTCTGGTTTACCTCTCTTACCTTCTTTTGAGCCTCCCAGCAGACTCGACACGCTGCCGAACGCGTCCCCAACTTCTCGCCTTAGTTCCCTTCGTAAATCCTTCAGTTTCGGACAATCGACTAGTACATGGGTGACTGTTTCTTGCGCGCCACACACGCACTGATCGTCGTCGGCATAGCCAAAAATTTTTTGCGGTAAGTGGATAGCCAGTTGTGGCCTGTGCGTAGTTGTGACAATAGGTACGCCCGGCCCCTGGGCAGGCTTCCGTACAACTTTCTTGTGTGCGCTGACGGCAAAGAATGGTCGATCTTACGTAGATGGCTACCTTGCTTCGATGTGCTCCATTCTTGTTTCCACTGAGCGAGTATTGTACTGCGGATGCACGCCCTTTCCCTTGTGAGGAGAGGGCGGAAGGGATGAGTTTTACCCGGCTTGGCAGCGTCCTTCGCCATTCGGTCCGCAGCGTCGTTACCAGGATTATCACAGTGTCCTGGGACCCACTGAAGGCGCAGCACAGTGCCTGTGGTCTGGACCTCGGTGGCAGCTAGGAGGATGGCATGAATGATCCGTTGTCCTGATTTGTTCTTGACATGCTGAATTGCTTGCAGCGCCGACGTACTGTCGCAGAGGATCGTCGCCGTGCGTCGGTTTGCCATTCTTGGTTGCTGGTGAATAATCTTGAATACCATACTGATTGCGTAGAAGATGCCAATGAGCTCCGCTACGTGGACCGACCAGCGGTCCATCGGTCCCACCTGAACCTGTTGAGATTCGACTACCTCTGCGTTGTTGTCGAGTGCTACCACCGCCGCCCCTAGATGACCCTCGCATCCCGAGGCGTCCGAATAGACTACGATATCTGATTTCAAGTGAACTTTTCCGGCCTGATCACTCGCTGCTTCTCGGTCCGACTCGATCTCAACCTCTGTGAAGGGGTCACGACGCCACAGTGCGAGTGGTTGTGGATCGATAGTTTCCAGTTCGTTCAATCTCTCCAGATCCATGGTCTTCAATGCTTCCGCGAGCGGGAAGCGGGCATAAGACCCGATATTATTCCTCCGTTTCTGAGCTCGTGAAAGCGCGGTCCAGATAGGGTGTTCCCGAGGTAGCGTGTGAAGATTCGCAATCTTGCGTTGGGCCCGATGGCGGAGGCGAAGATGAGTGGGTAGGATGTGCGCTTCTACTTCTAGGGTTTTTGTAGCTACCGTTCGGAACGCCGATAGGATTCGAATTAGCACGGTTCTCTGCACTGTGTTCAGGTGCCGCAGGTGAGTTTTGTCTCTCAGCGGGTCGTGCCAGACAGTTAATGCATAATCCACGACTGGCGTAACACATGCTTGGTAGACCTGTCGCATCTGTTCTGGGCGCAAGTGTCTTAGCCCAGCCAGGGCGATGGCTACTTTGGTTGCCCGTTTGATGGCCTGCTGTACATGCTCTTTCCACCGCAGTTCTTGATCAAAGACCACTCCCAGTAGCTTAGCTGTTGGTGAGGGCAGAACCGCTGTCCCGTTCACGACTATTTGACCTTGTAGACGTTCTCTACGCCTTCTGGTGAGATGGATCAGCTCGGTTTTCTCGGCTGCAAAACAGGACCCCGTTCGCCGCGCCCATGCTTCGATGCGGGGGATGTCCTCGGACTGTATCTTGGCTAAGTTCTCTTCGGCGGATTGACCCACCCGCCAGCGGAAGTAGTCGTCGATGAATGCGGAAGCGCCACCGTGAGAGTTGACGGGTTGATCGACCAGATCGGAGTTGAAGAAATCAAAGAGGATCGGGGAGAGAGGTGATCCTTGTGCCAGTCCTGCATTCGCCAGCGGGATCACCTCTGTGCGGAAGTCATCAAATCCTATGCTGGCGTGTCGGTCGCTCATGAAGCTCGCTATCCATTTTCTGGCTACGGCAGGGATCTTCCTAGCTCGCAGGTAGGCATCTAAGCTCGCCTTGTTGACTCCATTGAACGCTCCTTTCAGGTCAAATGAGACAAGAGTCAGGACTTTATGCTTATACCACGCCTGATCAATCGCATTTGAGAGCATCAGCAGAGCTTGCTCGGTGGTTCTTCCTGGGCGTCCTCCGAATTGGGTGTCCGGTAGCAGACCATGTTTTTCTGCGAGGTATGAAAGTCGTCGAGCTATTACTGATTTGAGAAGCTTGCCAAGCGTGTTGAGGAGTGAGATTGGGCGGTAGGCCCCGGGGTCCGAGTAATCCGGCTTCACGGGCTTCCGTAGCACCACAATCTTCGCGCTCTTCCATTGTTTCGGGTGGTACCCCAGGTTCACTGATGCATTGAATATACTGGTGATGACACTACGTAGGCGTTTCCACAGCTGTTTCCATACGAGCATCGGCAGGTTGTCTTCCCCTGGCGCGGTGGTTCCTTTAGCGGCCTTGAGGGATCGTTGAATCTCAAGCTCGGTGATAGGTTGCCACGGGAGTTCCAACGGTGCTGACGTCGACAGATTGGCAGCTGGCATGTTCATTTCAGGAAAGAAAGAGTCCAAAAAGGCTTGCGCTTTGTCTTGGTTATCAGTGAGCTCTTGGCTGTCGACCCGTAAGGCCGGGACACCTCCCCAGGTGTCTCTTGGTTTCATATAGGTGGCAGCCTTCCAGAATTTTCCTTCTCCCACCTCATCTAGGAATGTCCTCCAGTGTGATGCTTTGGCTTTCTCAATAGTTCGACTCCACGCCCGTCGGCTTTGTTGCATCGCTTGGAAGGCAGATGTGGAATGGGGGTGTTCCCGTCCGAGCATCGCGCAGCTTTCCTACCACCTCCGGCGTAGTTGGTTGACTGTGATCTGTTGAGCTTTGAGGTCTGGGGTGAACCATCGCTTCGAGTATGGCGTCGGGTTTGTGTCAGGTGTGAGCCGATTTATGGCTTCTGTTGTCACCTGTGTGAGCTTTTGAACCATCGTGTCTACGGCTGGTCGAGTTTTGATTTCTTCCCAGGGTCCGATCTGTCGCATCACCTCTTCCCCAATCCTATTCCAATCTGCGCGGGCATAGGCCTTTCTTGTCTCTGTGGGATGATTGTGCTGGGCTTGGACGTTCCATTCTGAATACGTGGCACGATGGTCGGATCCGTAATTTTCGTGGTAGAGGTGGCACTTGATGAGTAGATCAGGTCGGTCTGTCACCGTCTGATCAATAGTGGAGTTCCTCCCTGGGTCGCTCAGAGACCAGTAGGTCGCCGTGCCCCGAGGGAGGCAACTGTGGAGGCCGTTCGCTTGGAAGAAGGTGATCAAGTCACCCGCGTCTTCGATAAGCCTTGGTCTGGATTGTAAGTAACCCAATGAAACATGTTTGTATTCACATCTTGCTAACCGCGCTTCTAGATGGATCTGATTGCTATCTTGCTTCTCACACCTTTTTCCGACCGCTTCCATCGCCACAGTGCTCTTTTCTTCTCCATTCCAACATTATTCCAGATCTTGGGTCTGCTTCTCACCAGCTACGCTGGCTCTGACGAAAACCCCTGGCCACGGTACGGTGGATTGCTGATCGTCGGATTTGGCCTCGGACCTACTGTACCCATCACCATGACGTGGACAGCAGAGATCTTCCAGCGCCGCCACGGCGAAGTCGGCGTGGCTGCAGCCTCTGCGGTGGTCTCGGGTTGGTGAAACCTTGGTAGTATCATGACAACCTACGCTCTGTATTCTGGATGGGCGAGTGACGCCAATGCTCCCGGAAGGCAGAAGTACCGGAAGAGTAACCTGGTTATGATTGTATGATTGGAATCCTGATCGCTAGTTTCTTGGCTGCAGTGCTGATGCAAGTGGCCCTTCACTTCACGGATCGTCATGACCGTGATTCTGAGGAGCAAGAAGATGCTTTTGATGGTGCCGCGCGGAGAGAGGTGCAGCAGCGTGGATTACGGGGATTGGGATCAGGGATGGGTCAGTGGTTGCGGCGCGGCAAAACTGACCAGAGGTAATTTGCAATATTAATTTTAGGAAAATAATCTTATTTCATGACCTAGCTAAGGATAACAAACGACATCGATCTTTGAACCATTTTCATTGACAACATTGATATTCATAATCGTGCTTTCGTCGCCGATCCACGGTTTTGCTTAAACGCCTGAGCTTGCCGACCGGGTGATCTCAAGTCCTGGATTTCAGCAAGATGGTGGAGTCATATTTCACGCAGTGGAGATGGAAACCAAAAAAATTATCATATTGGAATCGATGGAATGAATAATAAATATCATATCCATCGAACCGGCATCCTCCGTTACGGCTTGCCCCGCCATATCACGTGTTAATCCCCCACTTGTGGCTCTGTGATTACTGGTTGCGGATGAGCATTTTGCCTCGCAAATACAGATGGAGATAATTCAGAGAGACTTTATCTGACTTGATCCAACAGCTGAGGTTTCTACTTTGAGCATTTCTGTTGTGTTTGTAGGGAATCTCCCCGCCAAGTGGATCTAAAGTTGTCGGGGACCTTGGCAGGAAAAGCGACGATAAGACTAGCGGAAAACTCTGCTACGAAGTATCCAATTTTGTTGCAAGCCAAGTGAAAGCCAAGACTAAGAGCAAGAAAGATATAATAAGTTGCACTCTCTGTTTTTGTGCTCCGATTGAAGCTGCAGGGATTTCATCCGATTTCAAGATCTGCATTTCCACAGATCAGCATATAGTTGACCTTCGGATATCTGAAAATGACTTCCTTTGTTGACGAAACGCCTGCGGATTCGACCAGCCTGGAAAGTGACAAGAAATGGAGCTTACAGCCTCTGATCCGTAAGGCTGAGCGGTCCCATAGTCGAATGCCGGGACTTCGAAAGATTCCTTTTCGAGCCATCGCCATCATCACTCTGATTGCATTTTTGAATATCATTGTGTGGGCTGCGGCGGCGGTTGTGCTGGTATGTTCAGTCTCATTTGTGGATCAAGTAGAAACAAGCTAACGGCATGACAGCACTTTCATCCGTATGTTTTTCTGTCTGTCCTGTCCACACACTCCAACTAATATTTTAGAACAATGGTATCCACCGCAGCTCTTGCATACTCCCTTGGCTTGAGACATGCTTTTGATGCGGACCACATTTCTGTAAGTTCACCTCGGATCCATACTTCGATATGTGCAAGCTGACACGAATATCTTAAGGCCATTGATTTGATGACACGTCGATTATTGGCAACCGGCCAAAAACCTGTCACTGTGGGAACGTTCTTTTCTCTTGGGCATTCCACGTGAGTAATAAGCCAATAATACATCCTGGCCGCCCTAACGTATTTTTAGGATCGTGATCATCACATCCATTGTGGTCGCAGCTACAGCTGCTGCAGTGTCCTCAAAGTTCGATAGCTTCAGCACTATCGGCGGAATCATTGGTAGTTCCGTCAGCGCAGCATTTCTGATCATTCTTGGACTGATGAATGCCTATATTCTATTTAAATTAATCAAACAAATGCAAAAGGTGTACAACTTGGCCGAAGGAGAAGAGGACGAAGCATGGAAGATCGAGGGTGGAGGTCCGTTGTTTGCCATCTTGAAGAAAATGTTCAAATTGATTGACCGGTATGTTGCGAAAATTCCGATCATTCATCACCAGCTGACGGTTTCTCAGTCCTTGGAAAATGTATCCTCTTGGTGTTCTGTTTGGGCTTGGTTTTGACACCTCATCAGAGATTGCGCTGCTCGGGATCTCGTCCATTGAGGCTGCCAAGGGAACATCATTTTGGGTGATTTTGATTCTTCCTGCATTGTTCACCGGTGAGTGGATCTGAATGATGATCAACTTCAGTTTTCACTAACCATTCCTAGCTGGTATGTGTCTTCTGGACACCATTGACGGAGCCCTCATGTTCTCCCTGTACATTCAGCCTGCACAGAACTTCCTTTCCCAAAAGGCTGCCAATGATGAATCAGAAACAGTCTCGATTGATGGCGACGAATTACCTCAGTCTAGAGATAACCATCGAGACCCTATCGCGTTCCTGTACTTCTCGATCGTGCTCACCATCTTGACTGTCATCGTTGCCATTGTGATTGGAGTAATCCAGCTCCTTACCATGGTCCTCAATGTGACCAACGCCACAGGAAAGTTCTGGGATGGCGTACAAGTGGCCGGCGATTATTATGATGCCATTGGTGGCGGCATTTGCGGTTGCTTTATTATATTTGGAGGGCTGAGCGTTTTGGTTTATAAGCCATGGCGGAGATGGATGGATCGACGTCACAGACGCTCGACAACGAATGATGAAGAGCGATACCGTGATGATGCTTCTGGGCAGGAAGATACCATTGTTACTAGCTGTGGAGTTGGTGAGGGCGTTTATGAGCGTGAGCAAACTACCGTTGATATCAAGGGGTCATCTCGTGTCACAGCGACCGAGGAACGACGGATTGAACAGGAGATCGTTTAAGACCACCAAATGGTTGAGGAAGTGAGGTTGAATTGTGGGAGTGATGAATTGGGAGAGTGATGAATTAAGGGAGTGATGAATTGGGAGAGTGATGAATTGGGAGAGTGATGAATTGGGAGAGTGATGAATTGAAGGGGTCAACATTGGTCAAAAAGATGACCTCCACTTCGTTTCACTTGATTCCTAAATGAATAAGACAGAAATTTACTCAACCATTCATCCAATTTTTTCTACAGGGCCGGAAAAAAGACAATCCCACCGGAGGCTAAATTGAAAATCTTCTGTAGTGTCGTTCTTCGTGCTTACCTTGGAGGGCATCCAATCCCCCACTACTCATGCTATAATGCGTGATCCCCTAGGAGCTTCAAGAGAATAAGCCCTTTCAGAAGCTGAGGGTCCATACATAGGGTCATGACAGATGTATCAAGGATCCAAATTCACCATGCGCTAAACTGAGGCCCCTTTCAACTGAATGATGTCTACTAAGATGGGGACCACATGTAATGTTTCTCGTTTCTATCGGACATATTTAAAGAGTCCAATAGTGCTCATCCTAGTGAAATACACTGACTACCTCTCCCTGCCTATTTCTACTCACCTTCATCTGACTGCCTATGGGTTTAATACCTAGTATAGAAATTCTCGAGTGCTAGAAGGAATCTGAAGGTTCAAAAGAAGTTGATGCGCCAATAGGTCAGAAGAGGTGTTTTGAAATCATTATGGCTCCAACAGAGAGGAAAGGTGAGAAATATGGCACACAGAATCCTAAAGGCAACACCTTCCGCTTTCTTCCTTAAGACGGCCCTTCGATAAACCTGCCTATTTAAGGACACTCCAAACCCATCACCAAATCAAGTTTGATGATTTTACCCGTTACGATACTCACGAAAATCTCGATGGATGTGGTCGTCAGCTGCAGCCTTTCGATACTATTTCTGAGACAACAGCATTATGTTTGTTTCTGTGCGTGCAAGGCAATTGAATATTATGGTAATTTGACAGTGCGTTGTTAGAAAAGTCAAACAGGCTCTCCAGAACAGTGAGAGTTGGAGCGCTGCTGGCCATCCTACGCTCTGTGTGGGAGGCTTTCGGCTAAATGAACACCTGAAATTAAATATTCATCCCTATAATCATCTCTATAATCTCCTGACGTGGGCTTCGATATCATTGATTATATAGAAGATAATTCCACCAAAGTCGACAAGCGAGGAAAACCAGTCACCAAAAGGATGCCCACTGTACAAGACTAAGATAGATTGATTGCGCCGAACAGGCTTCTCGTCAGCAAACAATTTGGCGGAATTTTTACAGAATTATGATAACCTAAATTCCACCAGATGAAAAAACCAGTATTATCTACTTATGAGATATTTATTTCCGTGTTCCTTTCATCACAGAATGAAAAGTATCCCAACTCTCTTCAAGGGCTGGTTGTCTCCAGCCTATCATCCATTCTGAGTGCAGTGCTTGTTGTGCTGTCGCTCTTTCTCCCGGCCGGAAGGTTAGCATTGGGCGAAGCATCGCCTCAAATGCCCTCCTATCTCTCTCTGTCACGATCTGCGGCCTCGTCCAAGATGCGTATCGGTTCATTCTGTACCACCGAAGCGCGATCGAGAACTACCCCCTGCAGGCGTGCGGATGTGGGCTTGTATTCAGTCCATCGCGGAATATGATCCAGGAGCTGTTCGAGGACAAGAGGCCTCAAGATATCACGATGATGCCGCTGATGGGAAATGACTGGGATGCGCACACCGGCGCCTGCCTGCAGACGCTAGAGGGCCATGACAGTCAGGTCAACTCAGTGGTGTTCTCCCACGACAGCAGCCGCGTGGCGTCTGGGTCAGACGACAAAACAATCAAGATCTGGGATGCACACACCGGCGCCTGCCTGCAGACTGTTGAGATCGGATCTGCAGTATCCAATCTCTCCTTCGACGCTACTGGCTCTTGCCTTCATAGCGATACTGGTAACATCGCTCTACGCGACCCACCGACACCTGCTCCTACTATTTCCATAGAAGGCGCCGCTTCAGAGCTCCAATCACTGTCAGCCAGTCAACCGCCGCAGACCCCTGAGTACCGAGGTTACGGTATCAGTTCTGATTCGCTCTGGATCACATGGCATTCGCAGAACTGGCTATGGCTGCCTCCCATGTATCGCCCTGTATGCTCTGCCGTAGGACAGTCCGGGTCAGCCTTGGTACTTGGCTGCCACTCTGGGCGCGTGCTAATCTTTCGCTTCGCGGATGAGGATCGCAGCTGAACGCTGATGATCATCAGCAGATAGCAAAAGTGGGTCACGCAATCTGATCTAATTCTCCCACGCACAATGTTTTCTCACGTACGGCCATCGCAGTCACCTGATTGCTGGACTTGGCTGGGAAGGTAATATTCCGTAATATTTACATACGGGTGGTGGGGCTGGCGTTGGATGAAACGATAGTTGTATTCTATAGACGCCAAGATATATGATTGTAATCTTCAAGTGTATTCAACGTAATAAATCCATTCCATTTTGTATCTCTCCTCTGCCAAGAATTTCGCTCAGGTCTATATTTTCGCATCCTATATAATTTTGATGATATACGAAGATGAACTAAGCGACCAGAAAGGCCAAATCACCCACTCACATCTTTTCTACTGATCTTACACGTCTTGGTGGGTGGTCTTGGCGCCACAGTCGTCCATGGCTGACATCGCGGTAGTCCGTGTAGTCCAGTAATTCACCACCGGGACAAGGTAATAGTTTTGGCTCTAAACAGTACTCATACTAAATGTCAACTCATCATCGCATTCGCTGTTATTAGATAACACCGCGCATGTAGATAAATAGTAATGATGGTTGAATGTGCAGGTACCTCGCAGCTTAGCTTGTAAGCCCGGTCAAGGATGAAGTTCCATGGCTCCTGGTCCAGAATGTTATATCGATAGTGGGTCTTGCACCACATGGGAATTCTGAAAAGGGATCGACGCCTTTCCAGAGGACAGGCTGGCGTTTGGTTGGTCAGGCGTGGTGGGGTTGTGAGTCATGATGGACTGTAGATGCCTCACCAATCAAGGTTGTTGGAAACAGGAGTGCAGCGGGTCCGTGGCCGGTAAGTTTGAGCGGTAGGAGCAGGGCCCGCAGATCAGCCTAAGTCTTGCCCGGGTACTTACCAGGGTACATGCAAAGGTACTCGTGAAGTCTCAGGTTTTGCCCTGCCACGCGCGTCGATTGCAGAGATGAGCAAGAAGATACTTTGTAGTATTCGTAGCAATTGATGAATCTTCTCATCAAAATTTTACCAAGGGCTAAAGTATCGTCAAGAATAGGGTGCATAAGATGACAGGCGGAAAGTGGGACGGCGAGATCGCAATGATCGGCCGGCACCTTAAACCTTAAATAGCACGTGGGTTGGTCTCGAGGTCCAGTCCTTCGTGCATCTTGCTATATACCACTGTTAGGTTCCTCAGAGTCTGGCAAGAACAGGGACAACGTGGGTTGCAGCAGTTCTGATCAATGCGCGATAATAAGGGAAATGGTACCTATGATCGCACTTGCATGGCTATTGCGTCTAGCCCTCTTTGAATGCTGTATTGCATTATATCTGTCGCAACTTGCAATGCAACGTAATTTGATTGCCACAGCGATCGTATCTATGGAATCCATTTCATCAATTCTGGTACTCAGTCGCCGATATAACCCACCGCAGGAAATGGTTAGTCTAGATGATTGATTTGATGGAACCAAGGGCTGGTCCCCCTAGCAACATGAGACCAACCACGGATCCATTGAAGGTACGTCTTCTGGCTAAAGATTTCCAAGTAACTTTCTAATGCCCTCGCAAATCAGTGGCCCTTCCTATGAATTTGCGTAGGGGGTTTCTGTGAAGAGATGTAGCCGACTTGATATAAAAGGCGCGAGATTTCCAGCCTAGAAAAATTCAGGACTTCCCTCCTCACACTCCCGTATGTTACAGTGCCGACCGCTATCGCCTTCCATATCGAATAACACATAGAAGCTCTTAGACCTCGCCAAACGCGGGTTTGGGTTGGGTTTTCAATTTCCTTACCCGCCCACGGGCAACCCACCGTGGGTTTTGTTGAAATATCCTGGTTGCCGAGATGATAATGAGGCTGGAATCACGTGCATAATTGTATATCTCTCACACTGCTTGTATCTAATGCAAAACAACGAACACAACTCCCCTCAATAACATGAAAAATTGAAGCATCACTCAATAAAAACAACACTCCGACCGCCCAGACAGCGGCAGAAGCTTCCCGCAACCTGCCGACGCGTGCATCTACTACCATGGCTGATCCGTTTGCTCCCTTGATTCCAGACTCAGCAAACAGCTTGCAGCGCCTTGGATATACCATGCACATCACGATTGGGCAAAACAGACAGACTATGTATTTGCCAATCGATGAGCACTTCATAACCCAATTTTGCGAAGGGCTTCGGCAGCACAACTTCCAGGTCTTCGTTTTTGACGTCACTCCTGGGACTGGCGACGAAGTCCTCACTGGGATGACCGGTCGTGTTATTGTCGAAGGAGTCTATTCCCACTATATGGACTTTCCTGCCTCGGAGCTTCATGCAGAATTCAATGCACAATTCAGTGCAAATGGCCCATCTAGGAAAAGAAAACAAATCGGCGGGGAAACCCTGACGCAAGCGGCAATTAGTTGGTTGGAAAAACCAAAAGCAGAAATGACGTCACAGTTCATGGATGTCGGCGCGTAGGGACATTTCAGAGGTTTTCTGACAGGCGTAGAGCAATGGAATAATCATACGTTGTCTTGATTTTGATCCTTTCCAAATTTTGGGCAATGAAAATGAAAACCGTGATTCTTTACATATTTAGGACACCTTGACATAAGAAAATCTCCCCAGATGTCGACACAGTGATGCACTCTCATTTGAGAGGCAGCTGGTACAGACCCCATAGCCTCAAACCAAGCAGCGCACACACCAATTGAACAAAATCCTCGGCCATAGTATTTCAAACTTAGCGATCCAAATTCACTGAAAAGTAATGGAAATGTATATCTTCAAGGACTCATTGGAAACTTGCAGAGTACTGTGACTACACATAAATCGATTTGATTGTCTATTTACGAGTGGAGATTGAGTACAAACCGAGTGGTGAAGCATGTAATCTCCCTAGATTCACATCGGAAAAATAACAGGAAGTGATCAAGCAGCACAGTGTTGTGCTATCAGAGTCGCCACTCTCCAAAAGTCTACTGTTGCTGTCTCGGTAGACTTTTCGGAAAGTTTCACAGCAAGCCATCTAAGCGCAAAAATTCCCAAAGAATCTTTTTGCGCCCAAGAATTCTTTTGCTCCGTCGAGATTGCTCGCATCTTGCATGCGATCTGTGGCTTGGTGTTTGGGACTGTCCCCGGCTTCTGCAAGAGCGGATCCGCGCTCAGAAGCATACGGGAAAGCTGACGGGAGCCACTGTGAAGGAACTGGCACGCTCGTTTCAATCTTGGCCCATTTTTCTTCTTCAAACCTTGCAGTCTCGTCCAGATAGGGGCCATGTCTGCTGGTTTCTCATTTGGTGAGATCAAGCCCTTGTCTTCCGCGTCTCTCTGCCAGTGGGCGACTTGTTGTCGGGCAAGCAGTTTCCACCGCAGATCCTGCCGTGCCATCTGGTGATTCGATGAGCGAAAGTGGTGAGGGGCGGAACTGCTGGTTTTCATTTGGCCGGGCAGAAGTGAGTGCTCTGTATCATCTCCAGGTGTGTTGAAAGGCGACTCGGGCTTGTTGTACAGGAGCAAGAAGAGGACAACTAGGATACAGATGGGCAACTCATCTGGCTGAGGAGTTTGGCTATCAAGCGAATTTCTTATGTGAGGTGTCATAGCGGGCTCGAAATTTACAGAGACAGGCATGGCCTCTCTGAAAGAATCAAATTCGATCCTTGGGATGAAGATAGAAGATAAGGGGTGCAGGTGCCGGTGGAGCAGCGAGGGACGGGATTCTTAAATATCATGGCCCGGAATCAGATGAATGAGTCGAAGTTTGAGGAGCGGATCAAAATATGCTTCATTGAAACCCTACATTTGGAAGCAATGTTCAATTCGGACTTGATGATGTGATCAGCAAAAATCGGACAAAGTCAGTTTTCTGATCCAAGTGCACAGAACATCATCCCACAAGTACAATACCATATTCATGAGGCGACAAGAGAGCTGCCTTCAATGAAAAAGTTTTAATTTGGGGCCACATCATCAGATAGACAGGTTTATACTCTAAATGATAGCTCTCGATCTACTTGTAGTCATGCGATAAAGCCAGAATAAATTCCCAAGCGGTTCAACGCGATATGCATGCCTTTTTGGCTGGCTTTTGATAGTCAATACAGCGCGTATCTTCAGAGTCAGCGGAGAAATGTGAAATTCCAGCAGTATTGCAAGGGACTGCAGGGCTCTGCCTGATACGCGGACCAGTCATCGATGATGGCCGACAATGCATTGGTGATTCCTGCTCGCTTCTGTGGAATGACCGGAGAATGAGCCGGTGCAAAAGAAGCATGCAGACAAAGACCAGAGAACCTCCAAGTACACTGCCAAGCACCAACGCCATACCTCGTTGGGAAATCCGTCTTGAAAACTCGGTGCCATCCATGATGGCGCCATGCGTTCCAGGGGCCGGAGTTCTTGCAGTGGTTGATGAACTCGGGGTCCAAGTCCCGGTCTCCGTGTATGTATTGAGTAGCGTCAGCCCTTTGGGTTTAGCGGTCATATATGTTTTACCACTTCCAGTCTCATGAGAGACGCTTGTGTATGATGGCGATGGCAAAGGTTGAGTGGTGGAGTTATTGACACCCACACTGTTCCTGGCTCCCATGGGCTCCTCATTGCGGGTAGAAACTCGGCTGCTTGTAGTTTTTGAGTCAGCCAGAGAGAACGGAGAGAGCCTGGGAGTATCGCGAGATGTTGGGGTTGATAAGGTCTCTGCGGCTTCTTCATTGGCATTTACCGTTTCGACTGGAAAGGAGGTGCCCTGGCTAACAGTAACCAATGGCCACGATGCAAAGCTCATCGTTACAGCGACATGGCTCGAAATATTAGCATTATCATCGCGAGAGTCACTGCTTGCCTCATGAGGCGTACTCGTGATTTTAACTTCCAGTGAAGCCATGGCAGAAGTGTCTTCTACTGGGGCGCCCACCTCTGTCAAGCTCTGGAAATAATCAAGCGAAGAAGATGGAAGCTGTGGATTGACATCCGAGAGCGTAAAGTCTTTTCTGATCGATGTAGAATACGGCTCAAAAACAGGCCAGGGGGTCAATTGCGATGCATCTCCAGGTGACGAGACTTCTTGAGTGATATCGACAATGACGACTGTCGGCTGGCGGGTGTCAGCGGACTCATTGTATCTGATAGAGCTTCTCATACGAGAGCATTGTATGCTGGAGCTCTTCGTACACATATCAGCAAGCATATCTGGGCAAAGGACATATCGGGGGACAAACGTTATAGACACACATGGTTTGGTTGGTGGAGTGAGGACAGGCATGCATGGGAAGCATCTCAAGAAGTAGGCTGTCTGTACAGAATTGGAGGGTTTGACGTGTATCACAAACTTCCGGATCTGAACTCCAAGCACGTTAATATTATAAAAAAGTGAGCTCAACACCATGAAAATCTCAGAAAGTGATGCTTGAAATTTTGCCAATGACTCAAGTATGCCGGTGTACCACGGGCCCCTTCGGATACAGCCGACCTTATATATCTGCGGTCGCAGAATACGGTCAAGCAACTTTCACAAACCTGAGGCGACCGTTGAGCCAGTCTTTCCTGCGTGCATCCCACTACATACAAAGAGAGCGACGCCCGGTGCCAACAGTATCTGCAAAATACTCTATCCAACCTACCAATGGCTCAACCTCTGAGTCGTGTCAAGCGAGAGCAACTTCGCAAACGCCGTAATAATCTACTGCGTCGGCACAATGAATTTTGGCTACTGTATGGGATCAAAACATGGCTCATCATGGAACAGCCAGATGGGCAGATCTTCACCTACCATTCGCATCCTCACGTTCCTCCACCATCACGAGAAATGATCGTAAGAATCCAGGATCCAAAGATTGAAATGCTGGAAGACTAACGTTTGAAGCAAAAACGCACCGCTGTGAACAAAACACCTCGTGATTATGCGGTTTCCGCCCAGCCTGCCGAGACAAGGCTGCCCGTGATCTCTTCTCCGGCTCATTCAAGTGATGCTTGGAAAGCGTTGGAGGAGCATCTCCAGAACAACCGACTTGGAATACGCAGTACCAGAAGCGCGCTATAGGAGAATCAATAATTGCTGATCTTCGCGGCTGTCATGCACACCACCGTTTGAACTGCATCCAGGCTCGCTAGAAATACAATGCCATTTTCTCAAATCTCAGTTCTATTGCTATTTCTACTGTTTCTGATAATCTTGTTTTTTGATTTAATTCACATACATCAGTCCCTCCTAGCTAGTCAATGGTCCTCATGCGTTCAGAAGTGACGTCGCAAAGATTAACTGGGGTCCATCAAATGCCGCCGATGGTGTCGATGAGCTCTTCCGTGGCTCGCACTCGGATCAAAATGGACTAAATCCACATCAGAAACGTATGGAATGTGAGTATAGAGGTGATAAGTACCTAAGCGTTGACCATATTCTTCTCCGTCTCGGTCGCTATCGTGAGCCAGAAGGGAGGGAGTGATCTGTACCATTTAGCCAAAAACCCCAATTGCGCATAGAATACCCGTACACGACTTACTTTCGTAATCGTAGTGCTTTCCTTGGAAATAAAGGTCGATGGCCAAAGGGGCCTAGACATCTGATACTTGATCAGCATACAACCAAGCCCAGTAAGCAGAGCAGGGTATACGCAACTGAGCATGCTACAAAGAATCCCATTGCGAATATACTGAACGCGACCATAGTAGCAGATGCACGCAGTCTGATTTGATGACCTTGAGAAACTCTGCGGCTGGATTTATATCCTGCAACTCATTCCAAAATATTTGAGGCTTGCCGCAAAATGTTGGTAGCATGATCGCCCAGCTGAAAAGCCCATATCATAATCCGGCTGGCGACATGGTCTCAATTTTGGTCACCTGCAGAAAAGCGCGAGGCTGCTTGTACGACGCAAACACCATGTGCGCGTAGGTATATCTGGCGAGTTCGATTCCCTTCAAATGCGTTCTTTCCTTCTCATCGAGCAGCCGAATTCCGGAAGAAAGATCAACACCACTGTCTTGAGATTATGCCGTCGGAACAGGCCTTAGTGTCGACAGGTAGGTGCGTATGTGCGATACTTACATCTGGGCTGACTCTCTTCGCGACTAGACACACAGGAATTGATAGAGCCACTACTGAGAACTTCCCAAGGTTCGATTCCATTCCCAGCTCAACACGCTATTCTGAAAGCGATCCAGTACCACCTCGAAGACCACATCTTTCAATTCCTTCAGAAATGGCTCTTGGCCGAATCTCAGGCTGTAGGCTGGACATGCGTTGAGGCAGTCGAGTTGCACAAGGTTTTCGAGTTCTTGGCCGACCACACAGAGCGAATAGAAGCGCAAATAAATTGTCCACCAGCACAGTCGATTCAGAAATGGCATCGCGTGATTAGCAACGTTCGTCACGCGTCTGTTCACCGTATTCCGCAAGCTCGAGACATCTTGCTTCGAATGGTCCGACACGCGATCGGCTTTGTGGGAAGCATCGCCGGCGGAAGAAGCCCACAAAGCCTTCGTCGACTTTATCGCTTCGTCAAGACAATACTTCATGTCTCAGATCGCTTGCAAGCCCAGCTGAGAGATAAAGTGAGGTTCCAGGTGCAGTTGTGCAACGCTCACCCTGAGCAGCTCGGACGCCGATTACAATTACTGCCAGAGGCCATGAAAAGACTTTTGAGAAACATCGAGCAGCGCATGGTGTCCCAAATTCAAGATTTTCTACAGCTCGAGTTTTCCTAAGTCAAGGACGGCGACCGGTTAGCGTACGAGAAGAGCACAGATCTGGCTAGTGCGCGACGTAGTCTCCGCAGAGAAAGCTGCAGTGAATGTGTGAGCGGCAGCAGCTTTGTATGTGTCTAATCACCAAATATAATATTCACGTCTGTGGTCCCATGTACAATGCGTATCCCAGATCCATGGAAGTAGTCAGCAAACAAATTGTAGGTCCTTCACCTCATAGCCATCTCGTCGCAACTTTCTTATCCGAAAGCCCACACTGTCGTTTCCATTCGGTTTCCGCCTGCGCTTCCTCCGTGCGTGATTTGTCCAAAGCCGTTCGGAGCAACACAATTGTTCGGATCAGGCGAGGATCTCCAGCGGGACTTGCTCCAGGGTTGAAATGGTACTGCAGAGCCAGATCCTGAGTGGAGTCCATCACGGCCGCGACGAGTCGATGGAAGTTCTTGAAACAATCGGTGTAAAAATCATTCTCTCGCTCTTGCTGGTTTCGTTGTTGCAGCCATTGCTGTTTCAGTGCTCGAGGCGTGGTCTTGGGGGATCTTTTCGACATCCTGAGTCGGGGCCGCGTCGCTTCCACAGCCATCGTAGACCCTCCCGCCATGGCAATTTGGTGATCGAGTGAGTTGATTTCCGGGAAAGACGTTTGGAGTGGCGGAGCAGCCGGTGTCATTGCAATCAGCTCGGCATCTTGTGCAGGGTCAGCAGGCCGACTGTAGATGCTTGTGGCGCTGTCGCGAAAATGGACGGAGAGGGCTTTGCGGAAGGCGTTCATGGCGTCGAAAAATCGACAGGAGTGATCTCTCTAGGCGCGAGAGCGTATGTCGAAGACTAAAACAAAAATATCAAATCGGGATCGGGCCGTTGACATTTGAGCTAGCGTGTCTTACGTCGGCTCTGTAATGGTGGATCTCAACATACTACGAAGCTTAGTCTCTCTTTAACTACCAGCGGTGCTCGTGGAGCGCAAGAAATCACTTCAACAAAAAACACACATTATTTTGTTTTCTCTCTTGCGACAGCCACGATAGTATGATCTGTAAGCCAAACCCGAAGGATTAAACGCCCCATTGCATATAACGAGAATTGTGAGACTCACAATCGACCGGGCCATCAACATCACAGCCGCCTTCGCTTCTGTCGTGCCGTCGGCTCTACGAAACGAATCGTCCTCTTTGCCTCACAAGCACAGTAGCAGTGTCTCACGGGCGGCCAGGGTGGCGTTTGATGGTCTGCACGGCCAAAGTGAGCAAAGGCCTGCTGCGCTTCAAGAAACTCCTGTGCGCACTTTGGAAATCCGCCAATCTTCTCACAACAGGCACCATTGGCGATGTTTATCGTAAAGCGCTCTTCAAGACTGGCAACGTGAAAGGCGACGCGTTTTCTGTAATATCCGCAAGGTGTGCAGCGGTCATTGGGGTCTACATCACCCAAGGAATGATCCTGACCAATCTGAAATTTCGCACCAGGGATCTCAACTAAGACGCGCGCGAGGATTTCGCCAGCCCCCGGGCGTGAGCAAAGGATGGACCCTTCGCAGTGAAATCCGACCTGACCCGGGACAGGAGTGGCGTCAAACTCGAAGAAAAACATTGCGGATGCGAGCACCGTTCTCACCAGCTCGACTGGAATGAGATACTCCATTTCGGACAATTGGTGTAATGCGCTGGTGTCATCTAGTTCGGGTAGCGGACCGGGGATGGCATGATCGAGTCGAAGTACATCCGGTTTCGACCAATGCGGTAAGTAATTCAAGGCTTCCAGAAACCCTTGGGGGCCGTCCATCGAGGGCGATGACATTGTGGCGCGAAACAAGCGAGGGAGCGCGCCGTCCCAGGTCGAATATTGCGGGCATTGCGCAGAATCAAGCGCGGTACATCCCGTGCCAACCGATAAAAGCAGATCATGTCGTTTCGCGCGCGGCCAGATGACGCCCGACTCCCTCCACGCAATGGCGAGCGGGTTGTTCGCGCGTACTCCACCATCTTGGAAAGGGCCGAAGCCTGGTAGCCGTCTCGGCTGAAAATAGCTGCCGCGTGTTAGCCGTGTTGGTTCCGAATCGATGGTCTTTCACTTACAAGGGCGCTGCGACACTGCATTCAGCTCTGGTGAAAGAAAAACGTTAGCTCTCTGCACTGTGGCCCACAAATCGCAAGAATTGTTCGCAGAAGCCAACTCACATGTCGCACAGATATGGATTCTCTTGGTCGTGGCTGGGCGTCAAAAATTCGTAGGCGGCGTCTGCACGGCGATGGCCCGTGCCTCGGTAATTGGCAAGCACGCAGGCCTTGCCGTCAGATGTGCGACTCGCAACGACGGCCACCCGACATCCGGCAGGACTGGCAGTGGTCACGTCAAAAATACGACGGTCCGCGGGCACTGCCTCTTTTAGGGTCTGGGCTAAATTCTGTGAGTCATACAAACTACTGGGGATCACGT